CGAGGCCTGGCAGCCTGGAACAAGAAAGGGGGTCACCATACAGAGGTGTGGCCCAAGCAGGGTAAGGCGCAGGCAACTCAGGGCGGCCACAAGGGGCCAGTCTGGTAGCTGGAGGAGGACATGGTGGTGTTGGTGAGCGGGAGGGCCATAAGGGCTGCTCTCAGGGTCGGCACAGAGGGTCAGGTGTGGCCCAGGTTGGGAGCGCAGTGTGAAACGGCTGGAGGGGGCCAATAGCATAGCCAGGCGGTCACCTGAGAGGCATGGTGGTAGGGGGAGAAGCCCCTCTGTTGTGTCAAAGTCATCTGGTAGGAGTTTGCGTGAGCGGATCAGGCAGATGGGCGCAGTGTGGACAGGGATCCCAGGCAGGAGCGTAGGGAGGAACGGCGGGTGGGAGTCCAGGTTGTCTTCTCCCTGCAGGTCAAAGAGTTCTTCTTATACAGTTTTGAGGCAGGAACAGGCAGTTTGGAGCTGGCGGGATGTGGGTACTCCTGAACCTCATGAGGTGGAGGGACGGACGGTGGCCCCGCGGTCTTCCTCGGCCAAGGATTCTTGCACCACACTCTGGGAACTGGACTGTCTGAAATCATTTATAAATTCATGGTCGGCTGTGGGGGTTCAGGCGACACAGTTCAGGTGGGTTTTGGGCCCCCCTATAGGGGAGTTGGTGAGGCTGGGAGGGCCATCGCAGTGGTGACAGGATGCGGGGGGACCAGTGGGATACCGGTTTCCTCCCTGGCGACAAAATGTCCATGTGTCTTTTGGGGGGCCGCAAAGGGTGTCATTTGAAACCGGATTTAAGTCGGTTAGGGAGCACCCGGGGGTGGTTCAGGAAAAATTGGTTCAGGAGGTTCAACTGGGTAGGATGGCAGAGCAGTTTACATCCCCACCATTGGCTGACTTGTGGGTAACTCATTTGGGGGTGGTCCCCAAGAAAGAGGAGGGCAAGTTCCGGCTGATGCATCATTTGTCATACCTGAAAGGGTCTGCGGTGAATGATGATATTGATGTGGTCCTGTGTTCTGTGTCCTATGCACCATTCGACCGAGCGGTCGAGTTGGTGCAGAAGGCAGGGCACGGGGCGCTGAAGACGAAGGTGAATGTGGAGGCGGCATTCCTATTGCTTCCCATTCACCCGGACTGTCATCATCTTTTGGGGTATTTTTTCGAGGGGAATAATTTTGTGGATGTATGCTTGCCAATGGGCTGCTCTATTTCTTGTGCATACTTTGAGAAGTTTAGCACCTTCTTGGAGTGGGCATTGCGGGCGGAAACTGGTGGGGGTTCTGTAGTGCATTACCTTGACAATTTTTTGTGCTTGGGCCCTGCTTGTTCCGACCAGTGCGGCCAGACGTTGAGGGTTTTCCAGTGGGTGGCTCGATCATTTGGGGTTCTTTGGTGGAGGACAAGACGATAGGCCCTACCATTTGCCTTAGTTTTCATGGAAAAACAGTAGGTTGTTCATGGAAAAACTGATCGCACTACGCCAGCTGGTGGGGGCTGTCAAGGGTGTGTGGAAGGTGACCTTGCAGGGATTGCAGTCTGTGCTGGACAACCTCAATTTTGCATGTAGGGTGATTCCCATGGGACTTTTTTTTGCCAGTTGTTAGCCTGGGCGACGAGTAGGGTGCTGTTCTCGACTCACTATGTTAGAGTGACTGGATCTATGAAGACGGATTTGGAAGTATGGGAATGGTTCTTGCGGGATTTCAATAGCCGGATTTTCTTTTGGGATCCGGCTGCATCATCGGAGGACATTGGTTTGTTTACGGATGCGTCTGGGAGTGTCGGCTTTGGGGCTTATCTGGCTGGTCGATGGTTTGCGGAGCAGTGGCCCGAGGCATGGAAGTGGAGCCCCTTGACTAGGAACCTGGCGTTTCTCAAGTTTTTTCCCATTGGTGGTGGCATTGGTTTTGTGGAGGGAGGCTCTCGGGAATAGGAAAATGGTCTTTTAATTTGATAACAACAATAATTCTAAGTACAGGCACTCTTTTATCCATATTGGTGCAAGGTATCAAGGTAGCCCATTTACCTCCTAACAAACATATAACAACAAATGATACCACACTCACTAATTTTGAATATAATTAATTGCTCTATTTAATAATTCATTAATTTTACATGAAATATAGGAACACTAGCCCTTGTTCCTTCCTATTCCCTAAATATATCTGAAATATACAAATGCAGCAAATGTATCCCATAATTGTAGAACTCTACCATAGATCTAAATATTAGTATTGTATTAAGATATATTATTGGAGATGCAACCTCCAAGGAAATTCATCTAAAAGTGGGAATTATGCTACTCATAACCCTAAGGAGGTCCTCCTATATTTCCATTTATGTTGAAAATCTTTTCTCAAAGACCAACATTATTATATAATTATACTATATTCAAAATAATATCTTTTGGAACAATATATCATTATTCAAGAGGCCATACTTCTAAGAAGTTTTTTGTGTAAAACGAGGTCTATATAGTGAAAAGCTTTTTATGAGGGACTTTCCAATGTCCTTAAATAGTTTAGAATGTAGCCCCTACTTATTCCAATATCTATATGAATAGATTAGAGGAATTGTGTGTATATATACCACCCCACTATTTGAGAAATGTCTTACGTAGAAGAGATTTATTGATAATGTGTTTGTATTTTGGGGGGTACGAAAGTTCAATTGGATACTTTTTTTTGCCAACTGAATTCTTTGGATCCCAACATCAAAGTCACCATGACGTGTGATAGAGAAACAGTTCCATTCTTAGACACCCAGGTATATTTGATCGCTAATAAACTACATACTGATATTTACACGAAACCCATGGACAGAAATAATCTTTTGGAATATACTAGTTACCATCCCCAAAACCATCCCCAATTACCATCCCCGCGTGACCAAGCGGGCATGCCAGAACAGGATGTAAATACAGAATTTTTATTTCTTACTTCAACAGGGCCATCGAAGGGGCTATCAAGGTCCCGAGCGCGCAGCCCAAGACCCTACACCGACATTTAAAGAAGACGCCCAGTACCTCACTGACAACGGGGAGATCATATATACACCCAGGGAGAAATAATAGGATTACAAAAACCACAGAGATACTGTGCACTGTGGACAGTTCACCATCTATGTGTGCATATTGCAACTTTGCCTGAAACAGGACCTGTGTCTACGGAAATTCTGGTGAGATCCACCCAAACATTATAGTGTGTACACACTGGGACTGTATATACATTATTTTTTTCTCATTTTTTCATTTTTAAATTTTTTTTCATTATTCTCATATTTTTGCATTTTTCTCAAAAATCTTTCAGATGGTAATCTGGACTCTAATATCTGGACTATATTAATGAAGTTTACCATTATTGTTAATAAGTAAGTCTGGTTTTGTAGGGATTTATATATACATGGAATAACATTGGTTGTCACAGGATATATTATTTCCTCTAAGTATATTTTCTTATTCTTTTCTTGTATATACTTAAATATTACTATACTTGTAAAATTAATGAATTATTAAATAAAGCAATGAATTATATTCAAAATTAGTGAGTGCGGTATCATTTGTTGTTTTAATTTGATAATATGGCAGTGGTTCAGGTGGCTAATGGTTTGCCGGCATCCTCGATACCGGTGGTCCGGTTACTTCAGCGTTTTGTTCTATTGTGTATGTCATTTAACATTTTTTTTTCTGAACGTGGTGGCTGATTCTTTGTCTCATTCGCAGTGGAAGGCGGCTCCGGATGCGCAGGACGTGGGACAGGCTTGTGCGGAGGAGATATGACAGCACAGGACGTCATGCTTGAGGATTCATAAGAAGTTCTCTGGTGCCGGAATGAGTGGTGCTGGAATGAGTGGGACGAGATAGTAAAGCAGTCTCCCGCAAGTCGACTGGATGCTCTTTTGTGGATCTTATGCCACTTATTTGCACGGAAAGAGTCATGATAGACCGGCATAGATCGGCATTGGCATTTTTTCCTAGAGAAATATCAGCTATGCCTCACCGATGAAACTTAACAAGGCTGAAACGATCGTCTGGGGTGTCCCCCTCTCCTTCCTCTCCCCCCTATCCCCCTTCTACCCCCTCTCTTCCCTCAATCTCCCTTTATTTTAATATATTGTAATAAAATAAAGTATTGTCAATTTTAGGGAAGAGTTTCAAGGATCTAACACATCAGTTTGAGTGTCTTGGTTGATACCTATTTTTAATAGAGGTTGCCCATCATATTATATCATATTAACCCCTTCAGGACTGAGGACGGTTCAATGTACTTACCGGATTGCCATCATTCCCCTGGCGGCGATCGGTGTTGCTCCCGTTGTGGGGAGACTGCCTGCAGAGTGATCACATGGTCACAATAGGTGTCCATGTGTCTGCCTGCAGGGGGACTGCCTGAAACCTGTACATGGGGGGTACTGTTTTACTCGGGAGACTTTGCTGAACACAAATATTAGTGATTCAAAACAGTAAAACACAGTGATGATATTGTCATTGAAAGTGACTTTTTTTTTGCATTTTTCACACACAAACAGCACTTTTACTGATGATATAATTGTTGTGATACGTTTTATGTGGGGTGTTATTCAGAGATTTATGACAGATAATAGTGTTACAATGTCACTATTGATCAATTTTAAAAATGTATGTTTTGAAACCGCAATATCTTACTTGTACCTATAGCCCTATAACTTGCAAAAAAGCATGTAAACACTGGGTATTTTTAAACTCAGGACAAAATTTTGAATCTATTTAGCAGTTTTTTTCATTTGCTTTTATAGATGAGTAAAAGATTTTTCAAGTAAAAGTCCAAAAGAAATAATAAGTTTGATCAATCTTCTTTTACTAATTAAAACAAATTGTAAGCAATAATAAAATTTCTCAGTCTTAAATGAACTGAACACAAGTCAAAATTGCAAAGCATCAAAGAATTTAATAAAATTCATCGAGAGGGATATTCTTCTTTCTCAGCCACTGAAATTTGTGTTGCTGTTTGAGATGTTCTTTAAAGAAATGTGAATTCCATAGTCGCTGGCATGACAGCTATACTGCACTGGTTAACATTTCTCTTCATTCTCACATAGCCACCTTCTCCCCATTCGTCACCCCAGCTACAAGAAAAATAAATAACACAATTACTTAATAGTAATAGTAATGCACTAATTTCCAAAGTAACATATTATAACACTTAGCTCTGAGCAGCACTTACCCAATGTCTATAATATGAGATTTAAGATATCAGGAATAATCCCCCATGAATGAGATCAAGGGACAAATGCTTTTTGAGATAAACGTAAATTCTGCATTGTAAGTGCATCAAGTTTTCAATGACAAGAAGCATAGATGAGCTTTTATTTTAGTAGTGATTTTTTTTTTTCAAGTAAACTTTCTTTTATTTAAAAAAAGTAGATTTTGGGCTTTAAACTTTTGTGTCAGTTTTCATTCTAGTAAACTAGTAAGTTGAGCTAGATTTTTTTCCAAAAAGCTGGGAACAAGCCTCTTGTATTTGAAATATTGTTTTTTAAATATATTTAATGTTTGCCTAAGGCAGGGGTAGGCAACTTTTGGCATTTCAGATGTTGCGGACTACATCTCTCTTGATTATTATTATTATTATTATTATTATTCTTTATAAAGCTCCAACAAATTCCGCAGCTCTGTACAATGGGATGTTTTGCCATCATTATGGCTGTGTGAGTATTATGGGAGATGAAGGTGAAGGTTGCCTACTCATGGCCTAAGGTTTCATGATTTAATACACTATCTAAAATGTTGAAATATTTGCTCTAAATTGAATTTTGAATATTTTTCAATCTGCAATAATAAAATAGAAACAGTAATAGTTAATAGTTTACCTATTCCTAACTATCCAGTAGTTGCGGCCATATCCCTCAATAATGATTGCATGATTTGGTCCTCCAGCGCAGCTTCCATCATATATTCCTAAATTAGATGAAATATATTTTTAAACAAGTTGAAAATGTATTTTAAATAAAATAAAAAAATACAAATTGAGGGTTGCCACTCTCCTAACTATAATTTTGTATGTAGTATTGTGATTAATTTGATAATTAAAATATTAAAGAAGTTCCTGAGGCAGAACCACTGCTTATTTGGTGTTTCCCCCTTATATTGTGTGTTTCCCCTTTGTATTTTGTATACTGTACCCTGTTTCCCCATTCGGGAACGTTCATATGAACGGAACCCATTCGTCTTCTGAACAGGGACCACCCAGTGCCCTATTAGAATGTTCACACCAATTACTTGGAATGTTCACACCAATAACATATGTGCGAAACTGCAAGGGATGTAATTAATGAGTGCTCCCCTGGGTGGCCGCCATTTCGTATGGATAAACGCCAACCAGGGGGAGCATTTGTATCCTGATAGGAGATGCTTTCCTTGCATGGTTTTCGCACAGGAACCCCCCGAACGGAGACTGGTTAGGGGAATGGATTTGGTGTGGGGGTTACTGAGGTTGGTAAGGACCCTTTTGGGACACTGGCCATTTTCTGTGCCTGGGAGAAAAGGAGACTAGATCCCTTTCCCGCACATTGGCTCCCAGGCACAGTGGCTCCTGGGATGGAAACCGCTGTTGTTTGGTGTGGAAGACCCCCTACATTCGTGGCGGGCTTTCTGTGTCTGGAAGACAAAGAGACTAGGTCCCTTTTCCTAGGCCTTGGCTCCCAGGTACAGAGGATCCTGGAATGGAAACCTCTGTCTGTGTGTGTGTGTAGAAGACCCCTTGAAAGGGGTTATGCATAAAAGCCGTGAGTGGCACAATAAAATTGAGTTGTACTCCCGGAGCTGTGTCTCATCCAGTTACTAGGGGGAATGGGTGTCCTTATACTTTAAGTAGTTCCGGAGTGGATGAGGAAAGGAATTAGCGGAGGTAACCGGTCGGGTTACCCGTGGTCCGGTACACTGCCAAAATAATTTATAGTCATCTAGACGAAAAGAAATACAATACAGAGTCCAAAGATCAATCCAAGTCCGAAATACTAGTTTCTAGAGCAACAGGCTACATTTCAATTTAACAATCCTAAATCCTACTTAATCTCATTTATTTTCTCATTCAATGACCACTGTGATCATCAGCTGATCACCATCAGCCAGTGTGCCAAGTCTCACCAGGTCTAGCTCAGGCAGAGAGCTTCTGGCTGCAGAGAGGCAGGGACCAATACAATCCAGAAGTCAAACAGTTAGCAAACTGTTAAGCTTCTTACTTTGGGGTGATCCAAGTCAATCCTGGCTCCATAATCACTAAAGTGTGCTGTAGCAGTTATAATACTTTGCACAGCTATTAAGATAAACAGATGAGATTGCTGAAACTAAAATCAACTGATTTTGTTTTCACAGCACAGCAAATATAAATGCAACCATAGAAAGATATTTTTACTTTTTTGCATTGGTAGTTGGCTACATTCTGACTATTAAAAAAGTTAAAATGTTGGTAACTTGGTAATTTGAACTAATTGTTCATAATCCGTTTTCAATTATTTTATGTTTGTCCTAAGTATAGCTATGCTGTCAAGTTGGGTCCAAGGCATTTTTAATACATTTTTTAATGTAATTCTTGTATATCTTTTTCCTTGCTATTTTGTTCTCACCAAATAATTCTGCAGAATATTAAAAAACAACAAACTGTAGTCTGGTGCTTTTTTGTATACAACTATCTGTGTGATAACACATATTTGTTTAACAGAGCATTTTGAAATAAAACGCATTATTGCATTATTATCATTATTCATTACCCTTTTCATACAGCATAAATTCCTCATTAACACCAATTCCAGCAGTAACAGGTCCATTAGTTGCCACGGATGTTGCCAAATCTTCTTCTCCACTCAGATAAAAGAATTTGGTTGCTCTCATCTTTATTGCATTATTTGAATTAAATAAGCACTTAGATTGCTAAAAAGAAATTAGCAAAATTAATTAAGAGCGTAAAACATGTTGTTGAATGAATTTCTTCCAAAATGCAATTTAAACATTGACAATATTTCTTATTGTACTAACCTTTATAGAACGGGATGGGAAAAAAATGTTCAAATGTCACGTGGCCCCGGTTCATATAATTAACCTCTATTTCTAAATATGAATTAGCAGGGATCCACCAAACCCCTGGTCAACTTTAATTAATTCTCTAAACATGAGGTGTGGAATCTAAAGTAAAACCCAAACAATGCCAATACCTAATTCCCTGGTCACCCTCTTCATATAAATGTGTGGGGCCAGATTATACAATTCTGTGGCCACACACAATACATTTGACCACACGTGCATAACTGAGTCAGAATAAAACTCATATAATCAGCCAATGTACATCTCTGCATAACCCTTCACACTTTTAATTATTAGTAAACGGGGAAGCTTAAACTGTTAGAAATCTGAAATGTTTCATATAGCATGGTGGGCCTCGATGGCCATGGACCATCTCCCTTGCCTGTCCATGGAGAGCCAGCCTTGCTGGAAGCCATCTCGGGCTGTTGAGGAGATCAAAGATCTCCCTCACTGGCCCTCTGGTGCTTAGTTCCAGGAGAGTGAGGGAAAGGCCTGGGAGGCTCTGTGTTACTCTCGCGAGCAGGCTAGTTGGAGCATTGCCGCCTGTTACAATGGCAATGCTCCGATACAGTGCTGTTCTCACAGGAGGACATGAAAGTCAGCCTGCAGCCAGAGGAGCTGCAGGCTAAAGTGAACATGCCACCACTGGATCACCAGGGTTAGAAGCATTATGTCCCTTCTCCCTGGTAAAATGTAAGAAGAAGGGAGAGGAAGACATTAAGATACATTTTCACATTGCATCCTTCACATCCTTCACACACACTACACCCCTCAGACACACTGCACCCCTCACACACTACACCCCTCACACACACACTGCATCTCTCACAGACACTACCCCAAACTGCACCCATCACACACACTGCCCCCTCACACACACTGCCCCTCTCACACACACAACACCCTTCAAAAACAGCACCATTCATACACACACTGCCCCCTCACACACACACACACTACCCTCCTGCACACACCAACATTATTCACACACACACAGCACCCCTCACACACACACTGCACCCTTCACACACCCTGTCCCCTCACACTGCACCACTAACACACACACTACACCCTTCACACAATAACACACTGCACCCTTCACAAACAAACACACAGCACCTCTCTCGCACACACAGCACCCTTCACACACACACACTGCACCCTTCACCCTCACATTGCACCCCTCACCCTCACACTGCACCCCTCACCCACATACTGCACCCCTCACACACACACACATCACCACTCTCACACACTACACCAGTCACACACACACATTTCCCCCTCACATGCACACACAATCACAGAACTTCACAGACACATGGAAAAAAAAGTAGAAAAAAAGGAAAAAGTTATTTTAAGTACATATTTAAAAAAAACTTTCTAAAAATATAAAAATAAAATGCATTTGCGCTATAAAATTAGTTACTGTGGCACTGCTGGGAGATAAGAAAAATTTACATTCAACAAAGATATAAAAGTGTGTGGTAGGTTTTAAAAGGTTGACTAACCTATATCTAGAGCATGATTGAGTTGGTCTGTTGCAGGGAAAAACAATGTGGTGATTTCTCTTTCATGTAAAATAAAATGCACAAGATTCCAAATATAAAAATGTATATTATTAAACAGTTGTAGTCTAAATGAATATTTACTTATAGTACAACTGTTAATTAATGTTTAAGAGAAAGAAATCCTACCTGTTCTTCATATTTGTAGTCATCACTCTTCATAATACCATTTTTGGAAACATATTCCAGAGCATTAATTGGGAGTCCACCATCGCAACCATAATTTGATTTATCGCAATCCACAAGCTGCTGCTCACTGAATAGAAGTTGCTTACCCTTATCAAGGCAGTAACGGGTTTCAATAAGGCCCACCTTAAAACACAATTTACATGAGATCCTTTTAATTCAGAAGAAATAATATTCATAAATAATTGTATTGAACTCCATCCATATTATTATGTTCAGCAATATACAGAAGGACTTTATTGACTCGGGACAAATGCATTGAAACAAATTTGAAGGAGAGTAGAGTGTAGTTAACTGCACTGTTCTCTTTTGAATTGTTCATTCTATCCCAGTCACATTAGAGAAGCTGTATTGGTCCAGCTATAAAGATGCAAAATAATGATGTATTGCAGTTTCTTGTAATACCTTGTGTATTTGACTAACATAAATTATTAGTGACAAGGTTTCAGGAGTTCCTCAACTTATAAAGTCTAAAAGCTATCATAGCCTGCTTGTTTCTTTATTGGTCAGTGATGCTTTAGACTTGATGAAGAGAGGCACTCCTGAAAGCTTGTAACTACAGATTTCTGTTAGATAATAAACAAGGTAATACAAGAAACTGCAATACTTAATTTTTTGCCCTATATCCTGGACAGATGTATTGAACTTGAAGCCTTCTTAAAAGGTCATTCCAGTCACAAAAGTTGGTATGAACGTGCGTTTAATTGTTTTTTGAAAATAAATGTATTACATTAACTATATTAATACAGATCTGTAATTTGCGAGCCAAATACAGACCAAAAATTGCATGTTACATTAAAACTATGTGAGAATTTCTGGGAGATGCCATCATTAAATATAGTTTTTTAAATTGCTTATATGTGCACAAGGTGCCAAATGGCTGATGGGAATGGCATCTTTAGATATCGTTTTGTACAATATGAAATTGCAACAGCTGATGGGAGCATGCTGCATTTTCTTGCACAACTTGCAATATATGTCTGTGGCACCTTATTATAGATGCAGAGGATCATATTGGAAGAACCTGTATTCTATTCATATATAATCCATTTTTTTAAACTCTAGCACAGGGCTTCCCAAATTTTTATGGGCCTAGACCCACTTTTCAAAACAGTAATTTTTCGAGACCCACTTGCTTTTAATGCATATTTTAAAAAGTGAACACCATGGCAATCAGCTTTAGAGGCATACAATTGGCACACCATAGCAATCCGCTTTAGATGCACACAATTGGTACACCATGACAATTACTTTTAGAGGCATAAAACTGGCACACCATGGCAAACCACTTTAGAGGCATACAATTGGCACATTATAGCAATCCGTTTTAGATGCACACAATTGGCACACCGTGACAATTACTTTTAGAGGCATAAAACTAGCACACCATGGCAAACCGCTTTAGAGGCATACAATTGGCACATTATAGCAATCCGCTTTAGATGCATACAATTGGCACACTGTGGCAATCAGCTCTACAGGCATACAATTGGCACACCATAGCAATCAGCTTTACAGGCATACAATTGGAACATTATGTCAGCTTTAGATGCATACAATTGGCACACTATAGCAATCCGCTGTAGATGCATACAATTGGCACACTATAGCAATCCGCTTTAGATGCATACAATTGGCATACCGTGGCAATCAGCATTAGATGCATAAAATTGGTACAGCATGGCAATCAGTTTTAGATGTATAAATTTGACACATCATGGCAACTTTAGGTGCATACAATTGGCACACCATGGCAATCAGTTTTAGAGGCTTACAATTGGCACACCATGGCAACCAGATTTAGAGGCATAAATTCAGAACATCGTGGCAATCAGTTTTAGAGGCATACAATTGGAACATCATGGCAGCTTTAAATACATAAACTTGGCACAGCATGGCAATAAGCTTTAGATGCATAAACTTGGCACATCATGGTAATCACTTTTAGATGCATAAACTTGGCACATCATGGCAATCACTTTTAGATGCATAAACTTGGCACATCATGGCAATCAGCTTCAGAAGCATACAATTGGCATTCCATGGCAAACAGTCAGATGCATAAAATTGCCACACAATGGCAATCAGTTTTAGATGCACAAAATTGGCATAACATGGCAGTTTTAGAGGCATAATTCTGGGATATCATGGCAATTTTAGAGGCAGAAATTTTGCACATCATGGCAATCAGTTTTAGAGACATACAACTGCTTACTCACAGACTTAGAATCAGAAGTGCTGTGTCCTGCTCTTTCAAACAGGCTCCTCACAATGATTATCCCAGTGGTGGAACTAATGTAGAGAGTGCCCTGGTGCAAATATGTTTTCTGGGCCCCCCTCTAGTGCAAGTGTGGCCAAAATGTAGATCCATCTGTCAGAGAACTTCAACAATGCTATACCAGATGGGGATCTACCATTTTCTTATCATTGCAGGGTTATATTTGTGAGCAGTGTTTGAGCGTTTGAATGTAATCATGTTTTTGTATTAAGTATATATGTGCATGGATGGGTGTATTTGTATGTACTGTTGCCATTGGAATGTAGTGGTGTACTTGTTTGTAATGTTTGCGTCTGAATGCATGGGTGTTTGTATGTAGTGTCGGACTTGAAATGCAGGTGTGCTTTTTGAGTGTTGGTGTTTGAATGAAGGGGTGTTTGTAGATAATTTTAGTGTTTTAATGCCGGGTATGTTTGTATGTAAAGTTTGCATTTGTAGTGGATGCAGTGTGTGTGTGTAGTGGATGCAGTGTGTGTATTGTGTTTATAAAATATACATATACACAATGTGTGTTTGAATGTAAGCATGTTTTTTTGTATGGAGTATGTGTGAAGTGTATACACATATACACACACATACACAGACACACAAATACACACCCTGACACAGCAATACACGCAATGACACCTAGTTTCCCACACAGATACACAGACACTCATGTACACAGATACACACTGACACAGAATACACACAGACACACAAATACACACACTGAAACAAAAGAACACACAGATACACATACACGCAGAGACAGGAGGGGAGGATGACAGTGTGTGGCAGAGGTGAGGGTGACAGTGTGTGGCAGAGGGGAGGGTGACAGTGTGGGAGGGAGTGTGTGTGCTGGTAACAGTGTGGGGGCAGTGTGAGGGCAAAGTGAGAAAGGGTTACAGTGGGTGGACAGGGGAGAAGGGATGGGCAAAGGTTTACAGTGTGGGGGGCAGGGGGAGAAAAGGTTACAGTGGGAGGGGCCGGGAGTGAATGGGTTAGAGTGTGGGGAGGGGGGTTGGGAGTGAAGGGGTTACAGTGTGGGGGGCCAGGAGTGAAGGGTTACAGTGTGGGGAGGGCAGGGAGTGAAGATGTTACAGTGTGGGGAGGGCAGGGAGTGAAGGGGTTACATTGGGGGAGGGCAGGGAGTGAAGGGGTTACATGGGGAGGGCAGGGAGTGAAGGGGTTACATGGGGGAGGACAGGGAGTGAAGGGGTTACATTGGGGGAGGGCAGGGAGTGAAGGGGTTACATGGGGGAGGGCAGGGAGTGAAGGGGTTACATGGGGGGACAGGGGGTTGGGGGAGGGCAGGGAGTGAAGAGGTTACATGGGGAGGGCAGGGAGTGAAGGGGGGACAGTTTGTGGAGGGCAGGGAGTGAAGGGGTGACATGGGGAGGGCAAGGAGTGAAGGGGTTACAGGGGAGGGCAGGGAGTGAAGTGGTTACATTGGGGGAGGTCAGGGAGTGAAAGGGTTACATGGGGAGGGCAGGGAGTGAAGGGGTTACATGGGAGGGCAGGGGGTGAAGGGGTTACATGAGGGGGAGGGGGATGTCTGGGGGCTGTGTCCTATCTGAATTCCCTGGTTGTCCAGTGTCTCCCTGGTGGTCCAGTGGGGTAACTCTCCGGTCTAAGCTCCGCCGGGTGCAGAGCTGTAGACCGTGTAATAAAAGTCTTGCGAGCTCCCAGAGTGTTGCCATGGTAACGCTCTGGGTGCTCGCGAGACTTCTATCACACGGACTGCAGCTCTGCCCCAAGCGGAGGTGCTGACCGGGGCTGCTGGGCAGACTGATTGGAGGTAGCCCGGCGGCATCCAGGGCAATCCGCCGGGCTCTCTCCTGGTGTCAGTCTGCTTGCCCAAGTCCCCTGCGGCCCTGGATGTGTGGGTCAGCGCGACCCACTGGGAATCGCCATGCGACCCGCCAGTGGGCCGCGACCCACACTTTGGGAACCGCTGCTCTAGCTCATTTTTGAAAGAGCAATAGTGATACTGAAACCAAAGAAGGGGAGGAAGATGACATTTCTAAGGAGTAGGAGGTTCAGGTAAGTTTATCTATCTTACTGATCCTCTCCCAGGTTAAAAATTATCACTTTGGTGAGGACCTTGCAAAAAATACAAAGACCTCAGAAGTAACAGTAATGTTTTAATTCCATCCACCATGCATTTACTCTAAATTAACACAATATAGGATAAATCCAATTTCTTAATAGCCAGATTTACAGTAATTAAGTGATTAATCATTTTACCGTCGCAAATGCCCAACATGATCCGCATTCACCTTGACTTTTAACTGGAGTCACACATTTTGTTTTTCTCCAGTCAAATTTCTTTGGAATAACGGTCAAATTTCTATGACGATTCTGGAAAAAGCGAGGTTCTGAAACTTTTTCTTTCAAGCCAAGACTGATGTGGGAAGCCCTTTCTTCTGGGGTCTGAAACAAGATAACACAATTTGTTCATAATGCAGGTCAGTTTCTCTTTCATTCACTTTATGCTGCATCATGTAAATAGATAATTGTTGCTGTTTGCGTTCATTCTTGTGTATTACTAAAAAATATTTTGAAATATATCCCATGCAGTACAAAAACAGGTCAGATGTAAATAATAAAGTAAAGATAAATGCTCTTTTTCTAGAAGTTCACCAGAGAACACTAAAAATGTATATCAGTGATTCCTGTACTAGCTCTTCTTTAAAAAAAAGAATAATAATAATGATTTATTTTGGTATGGAAAACAAAATCAATCTAATTAATTATGTTCAGGATCTGGTTAATTAAATTACTAATATACCTACAGAATGATTTCATAAAACTTACCAGATCTGCAAACTGATTCATTGCCAAAGTGTAGTTTTTAAGACCTAGTTCTGCCAGCTGGTTGTGTTTCTTCACCAGATCCCTCGTGGCTAACCATGCTTTTTGGCGATACAATTCAAGTTCTTCTGTGTCATATTGTTTTCCTGCCATGAAATATAACAATAAAATGGAAACTATATAAATGGACGGAGAATAGAGTACCAAAGGAGACTGGGATATAGTATAGTCTTAGTTGAGTGTCAGCTGTCTTATAGACTCTAAACTGTTAAATAAAGAAAAATAAATAAATACTAGCACCTCTTTTGACCATGATTTATCTTATAAACTTGATACTTCAGTAAAACTTGAATGTATTCTATTACGATATTTCCATCTCTACCATTAGCGGAGATACCGAGTGACCACATAGTTGTATACTGGGATAACTAATGCCCTACTACTGATTGTTATACAGGCAGGCATAATGAACAGTTGAGCCATCAAAGCAGTTAATATCAGAATGGTTATATGATAATGAATGGGCTATACAATATAACATATAGTCCTACCTTAATTTCACACAAGTGAGATTGCCCTCCCAGTAGGAGGAGCACCATGGCACCCTTTAACACATTTCAAATCTACCTAAAAGACACAGAACCTCCTCCTATTTAAACTCAGTGCTCGGTACCGGCCAGTTCCCCTCTGACGAGCCAGGTCGGGCGAAACACGCGCGTCAAGGGTCCTGTTAGTGCTGTCTTGATTGATCTTATGACAGCACACGGACTTGCTACCACGCTTATTTTTTAATTCATTCACTCACGGAGCGATCATGTTCTTTTCTATAGGGATCATGTGTTACTAGTTGAGAGTGGGATTAGCAATAGGTGCCCTTGAAGGCACAGGAGGAAAGTTGAAGAGTTATCCACAAAGTTATGTAGCAGCATGGAATTTATTTACTACCGCACTTGCTTTCCTGTGATTGAATATGGGATTATGAATAGGTGCTGAGTGACTTATCCAGTAGTGTGGATCAATTTTGATTCACCCCAGACCTTCCTGGTTTCATAGTACTATCAGACTGTCATCTAACACCGGCACTGCCAATGAACGCTATTTGTTGGCAATTAGAACGCGCCCATTGATGCATGGTGTTTCTTCCTTCTATACAGTCAGATAGTTATGCTGTGTCTTACATATGGTTTAACATAACCATTGCTCTAACTAAGGATTTAGTTAACTTCCCCCCTATTTTTTCTCCCGTTATTGATATTCCATTGCTTGGACTATTCATATAGACATATACCCTGGCACAGACGTGTGCATGCGTATACCTTTATTTATCTGCAGTTATTGCACATTATGATCCCTCAACAGGTAGTTTTCTATATTTATGAGCAGTATTTGTCATACAAGTTATTTGAAATTGTTAGGGGTATTATTTTTAAATGTAATGTATTTGATCAATATAGTACATTCGTGAAGGGAAGTATACATTAAGGCAAAAACAAGGATGGTAATTATAGGGAAAGGCACTAATTGGACATAGAATGTTTTAGTTCATTGACTGAACAGATACATTTGTCCCTGACCAACACAGAAATGATAGATTTCAGTAAAAATAAAAAAATAAAAACTGACCATATTTGGATTTCCACAAGTTCCATTCTTGTTCAAGGAAGTGTGCAGCCGAAGCACATATAACAATTGTTGAGAAAACAAATAGGCATTTTTTGAAATACATCCTAAAGAAAACAATCATACGTGTTAAAAGTGCTGCATTAAATCATCCACTGAAAATTTATTTTTATAACATATAAATAACTACAGACAAACCTCTAAGTATAGGTTGTTTTTTTTTACTCCTAAAAGTGGCAGGATAATATTTACAAGTCTAGTTAGCCACTTCCCTCAAACAGACATGTAAACTTTTACTAAATGTATAATTCCATTTAAAAAACATTGTAAAATTAAATCTAATTACTTTTCTTTGTACTTGTCTTCTCATCTTCATCCATTGTGAATCAATAGACGAAGACCAGAACACTATGGCAGAGTATGAATAATGTTTCTCTATCGATGCTGTACATGAGTCTATGTGAATAAAATGTACAGGGCTGTATTATAGCCACCAGAGGGAAGATTAAGAAAGTGTGGACTTTTTGCACACTTTGGGGATTATATGCAGTTTGTAATGCTCTGCATGGGTAATACAGGTAACGGGTTTTAGTCAGGTAACTGTACTTACTGTATATCTGTTAAAGACAATAATTTCACTTTCAGGTAGAATTATTTTTTGAATATGCAACCCTTAACATATCACCCTCGACATAAGGTTCCTTGCATACTCTCATCAGCAAGTGCAATTGATACCTTTTAATTCTAATTTTGTTGCATTTACCGTTATGTGAAAACATAGGATATATCACTATATGTTTATATTTCAACATTCTATAAAATGTAGAAATTCTTTGTAATCTAAATTTTGTGTCCTGCCCTATTTTGCCCTGCATAGGATAAGCAAATACCTGAAGAAATAAAATAGTATGAATTTTCAGTAGACATATACATTTACATATCTTAGAGAAGCAATCTATACAAAACATTGCTGTTATGTCTTACGTCGATTTGCTATATGAACATCAATATTTCAGATGAGCTGTAGGAAAGGATATAACTCACCTATCTGATGTGACCAGGAGTAACTTCTACTTCTGTTGAATGGACAACTTACAAATATTGGTCATTATATACAGTTCTCCCCACCAATAGAATTCTTACATAAGCTAATGCGTGCTAACAGTCGGATAAGAGATAACAATTTAACCTATCAACAAGACTGATAAGATTTATGACTCATTTAAATGGAAATACCAAAAAAGAGAATATCTGCAATATCTTGAATCTATTTTGTTGATAGGATAAATGTCTATTAAAAATCGAGAGAGAGCAAAACCACAGAATTAATCCATGTGATAACAAGATGATTATGTTTTAAATGGCTTCACAATATGTATTATTTAACAAATGGGTAGAAAACGATAACTAAATATATTTACCTCTGAAGTAATTCTAGATGTGCAATAAACAGATTGATAAGACAAAATCTAATACAACAAAAAAAAGCATAGAAAGAGGTATACGTAATTTACTTTGGTAATTACTAGGTTTGGATTTGTGAAAATCACTGCAGTTTCATTCTTTATAATATCTCATTTATGTATTGATACTATCCATGTAATTGCATCAGTTTTGTAATGTATGTTTAATTTATATTTCCTTTTTGTTTCCTAAAACATTGTATGTATAATCTTCTTTATGTCTTCACAATTGTATCATTATTTCATGAAATCAATAAAAACTTATTAAAAAGAGTTAGAATATTAGAACAATTTGATAGCACATGTTTAGTTTAAACACATTGCATTTATCTTGATTGAGTTAGTAACCTCTAAATTGAGGAGAACTGGGAAAATGGCTCCATAAACAGGAGAGGGCTGGCAAGGACATCTTTATTGCTTTAAAAGTTAGGTTACTACTGCCTAGGATGCCCCTTCCAAGTTGTGAATAGCTCCAGAGTGATTATAGACTTCTGCACAGGTTACCATGGTCTCACACAAGCACCAGTCAAGACTTAGTCAAGGGTGAAGAAGAACTGGTTTATTAAGGCAAAGCACACTGAATTTATACACAGACCCCCAGCATGGGGTCTCCTTTCAAAGTAACATAATCCCACCCAGGCATCACTGTCTAGGAGATAATTGTATCAACTCTCGGATAAACTAATTATCTCACGGACACAGAAAGCCGAACATACAAAAAAATTCAAAAATACATTTAATGCAGTAACGCACCCCCATATGCCATAAATCCCCCAAAACATCTCTCTGGAGCATCCAATTTGTCCAATAAATGCCCGGATCAGACCTGGATAGTCTGAACTAGGTGGGAGTCCACAGTTCAGCAGGATGCTGCTAGCCTCCGATCTGGCACAGAGTTCCAGAGTGCTGGGTAGAGTTTGCTTTCCGCAAATACAAGGAGCTCCCCCATGTCCTAGGTGTCTTTCGATGTCTCTCCACCTCCTATATTAACCCTCCAAATAGAGCTCTTAAAGATGGTCCTGGGACTGAGAGCGATCTGTTCAAAGTTTTAGCGGATCGCAGCAGCTCCGCGATTCGATCGGGAGTTTCAGAGAAGTTTGTGGTGGCTCTCGCTCAAGCGTACCGTACTTCCCTCTGGCGGAAAATCGGCAATCTTGAACCAGCAAGGGGGATGCTGAGCTAGGAGGTACAGCTGGAGAGTCTGGTATATTAATACAGTGACAAGGTGGCCCGTCACGCACAGTATCTATTTATATTTGTAAACATGTAAATATTGACAAAACATATCAGGCTATTTGAGTTAAAGTCGTTACCGTTAAATTTGCAATTATTATAACTTAGACATCTAGATTACTTTCGATTAAATGATGATAGAAATCTTTTTCTCTATCTCTGTCTTTTATTTTCCTTTCCTTTCCCATCCTTTTCTTTTTACTTCACAGTTTCAATCATTTTTATCCATTCTGTGTATTTAGGAATACAATTTAAGTGTTGTTTAAACAGGCTACTCCTTTCTCCATTTCCAATTAATGGCACAGTTGGTTTTTAATTTGGAGTCGTGATTTGTCTCCATTGCCTTGCTATCACAACTTTGGCTGCCATAAGGCAATGAAAGCTTAAGACTTGTGCTCTTTTTGGTTTATGGGCTCCAATAAGGCGGAGAAGGGTCATTTCTGGAGTTTTTATGAAGTTAGTTTTTAGAATCAAATTTATGAAGGAATACACTTAATCCCAGAATCATGACATTATTAGGAAATTCCACCAGAGGTGAATTATAGATCCTTCACCTGCCAGACATCTCCAACATAATGGGGAATTTGAGGATATTTTTGCTAGTCTGGTGGGTACTAGGTACCAACTTTGTAAAATCTTAAATTGAGTTTCTAAGGTACCCTTCCTCCATTGAATATTTTTTGTAATCATTATTTTTTCTTCCTCTAGTATCAAAAGATGTTCAATCAAAAAGCCTTTGACTCTTAAATAGTTGAATATCTCTTGTTGGGGAACGTCTATATTTTGTATAAGATTATCAAATGGAATTAATTTAGAATTTGAGATTATATATTTTATTCAATATTCTTTATGTATCTTCCATCTTTTAAGATCAAGGTCTGGCATAACTAACACTAAAAGCCATAAGTTAGCACCTTCATACAGATACTCTTCTACAATGTAAAGTAGTAAGTGTACAGCCTCTATGTAACGGCACCCCCAGGCATAAAAGGGTTAAACCGCCGTTTAGTAGATCTTCCCTTCCAGAGACACAGGCACAGCTACTGCAGAACACCAATCCGCCGAACAGGAAACCATATGAATGTTGTATACAGCCGAATAGGAAAAACCATACGAATAGGTTTACACTCCTAGCAGTCAAACTGGAACAGCATACAATAAATCCCCCCCAAGAACGAGACAAAGCTCTGTTTTGAGGGTCAAGCAGTGAACAGACAGAGCTGTGGGTTTATTGTGCTTATGTACACATTCTTACACATTAGTACCCCCACAGGGTTTTGGAACACAACCAATAGACACATACAATACACTCAGACACTCCCACACAAAATCCTCCCCTCTGCCTGTGATTCAATTACCTTACACAATTGGTAATGTAATTATAACAAGCAGAGAAATACAATTTTTCCACATTATTCATAACTTGAAAAGTATGCATCACATTCACATATAACCTACATCAGAATCAGCATACTCCAAATACAAACATACGTCAAAATCATACAAATTGGTCCAGTGGTTCACAAGATAGATCGTAGTCCTTTGTGACCAAAGGAAGCATGGCTTTTCTGACCAAAACCAGTTCCACAGAGTCTTCTATCCTGGAGATAATTGGGAAGTAATCCAATTATCTCCAAAGATAGAGGCAAAACTCCATTAAACACTTGGCAGCAAAAGACAATAAAACACATAAAAACATATAACTGTGCAGCCATTGCACAAAACAGGTACATTCAACATATCCCCAGATAGCTCAGATTTGAGCGCACATTATTACTGAATGGCGCTCAGAGCACACACATACAGTTCAATTGCCATGGAGCCAAAGTCTTTCCCATAGTCTTTCATTATACGAATGGGCTCCATGGAATAGCTATCTGGGATATCACCGCTCAAACAGGGCAAGCAACAAATGACCCGGCTTTCATGTCTTTGCAGGGGAAAATCAAGCCTTTTAACATGGGGCCATAATCCAAAGGCAACAGGCGAGCAACCAGGCTCCTCCAATGCACAGTGGCGAGAATGGTATCGTCACACTGTATAACAGTGTAAATTTGCTGTCCCCTCAAAATAACTCAACACACAGCCATTAATGTCTAAACCATTGGCAACAAAAGTGAGTACACCCCTAAGTGGAAATGTTCAAAATTGGGCCCAAAGTGTCACTATTGTGTGTGGCCACCATTATTTTCCAGCACTGCCTTAACCCACATGGGCATTGAGTTCACCAGAGCTTCACAGGTTGCCACTGGAGTCCTTTTCCACTCCTCCGTGACGACATCACAGAGCTGGTGGATGTTAGAGACCTTGTGCTCCTCCACCTTCTATTTGAGGATGCCCCATAGATGCTCAATAGGGTTTAGGTTTGGAGACATGCTTGGCCAGTCCATCACCTTTACCTTCAGCTTCT